TGGGAAAGAGAGAGGAGAGGTAAGAGTAGAGAAAGACATTGAGAAAATGGTGGAGGAGTTATTTTGGTTTTAAAAACAATATTACTTTGCACGACGAAAAATATTGGAATATTGGTCGCTCAAAGTTTTGCGCGACAAAACATATTGGTAGCGCAAAGTTTTGCGCGACGAATACTAGTATATTGGTCGCGCAAAATAAAAAAAAATAAAAAAAATTCCAGTGTCCCATTTTTGGTACCTGCCCAAATTTTTAAATTTTTGCGCAACGAAAAATACATATTGGTCGCATAAAGTCTAAAAAAATTATATAAAAATTCCCGCATCCCATTTTTGGTACTGCCCAAATTTTTGTGCGACGAAAAATATATATTGGTCGCACAAAGTCTAATATATATATATATATATATATATTTTTTTTTATAAAATCCCGCGTCCCATTTTTGGTACTTGCCCAAATTTTTAGAGTTTTGCGCAACGAACTGTTGGTCGCGCAAACTTTTGATAGACGAAAAATTGGTTCGTAGCACAAAATAATTATTATGAATAATAAAAAATAAAATTATTTTATTTTACGATTTTATACACACACCATTCAACGATCCAATCGTCAGACTTGTTTGTATATACTTCAAGATCGTATACCCCAAAAATCACAAAAAACAAACATTCAGAGATCTAGTAACAGGACAAAACTTTTTTATGGTTATAAATGAAAAATCACGATTTAACGGTTATTTTAACTTCGATTTTGATGATTTTTTAACAGCTACACTCCTTGACCCTATAAGAATACAATGACTGAATTTGATCTTCAATTTAAAATATTTACACTAGTGTATGCCACAAAATCTTATGTTATATTTAACGAAAGTATAAATAAGCTCTTAATTGTTAGTGAATATATTGTTTTGATGGCATACGCATTCGACGAAACTAGTTTCAACGATCCAACCATCGAACTTGTTTGTTTATATTTCGAGATCATATATGCCAAAAATTGAAAAAAAAATAAATATTTAGAGATCAAGTAACGGGACAAAATTTTTCGACGGTTATAAATGAAAAATCATGATTTAAATGTTATTTTAACTCCGATTTTGATGATTTTTTACGGCTACACTCCTTGACCTTATATGAATACAATGACTAAATTTAATCTTCAATTTAAAATATTTATACTAGTAGATACCACAAAATCTTATGTTATATTTAACGAAAGTATAAATAAACTCTTAATTATTAGTGAATATATTGTTTTGATGGCATACGCATTCTACGAAACTAGTTTCAACGATCTAACCGTCAAACTTGTTTGTTTATACTTCGAGATCATATATGCCAAAAATCGGAAAAAATAAACATTCAGAGATAAGTTACGGGACAAAACTTTTCAAAGGTTATAAACGAAAAATCATGATTTAATGGTTATTTTAACTCCGATTTTGATGATTTTTTACGGCTACACTCCTTGACCCTATATGAATATAATGACTGAATTTGATCTTCAATTTAAAATATTTACACTAGTGGACACCACAAAATCTTATGTTATATTTAACAAAAGTATAAATAAACTCTTAATTGTTAGTGAATATATTTTTTTGATGGCATACGCATTCAACAAAACTAGTTTCAACGATCCAACCGTCAAACTTGTTTGTTTATATTTCAAGATCATATACGCCAAAAATCAGAAAAAATAAACATTCAGAGATCAAGTAATGAGACAAAACTTTTCGATGGTTATAAATGAAAAATCACAATTTAACAGTTATTTAACTCCGATTTTGATGATTTTTTTACAGCTACACTCCTTTACCCTATATGAATACAATGAACTAATTCGATCGTCAATTTTAAAAATATATTTTCTAACAAAAACCCAATCCGAACAACAATAATATATTTTTCTAACAAAAATCCGATCCAAACTAAAATAATAAATTAAAGCTACTTAATAAAAAATATATATACCATTTAATTTCTTAAGTGTTATGCATACAAAATAAAAGACAAAAATAAATTGGTTTAGGTGACGAAATGTTTGGATTACGCCATGCAAAGATTTTAAAAAATGAATTTTTTATTTTATTTATTTTTATAAGGACTTTGGGTGACGAATTGTTTTTCGTTGCGCAAAATTTGGTTGCGCAAGACTTTGAGCGACGATGTATTGTCGTCGCCCAAAGTCACTTTGCATGACGAATTATTTTTCGTCGCGCAAGGTTTTGAGCGACGAAGTTTTGAGTTTCGTCGCGCAAAGTGACTTTGAGCAACGAATAGTTTTTCATCGAGCAAAATTTGGTCGCGCAAGGGTTATTTTTTACTAGTGTAAAGCTTAGGTGAGAAACGGGTGTTGATCGAAATTTACACTAGTCGTGATTGGCCAACGACACTGATTGGTGGCCAGGCACATCCGTTCCATAAGAAAGAATGAATATGGCGCGGGAAAAAATTTAAATTTATAAATAAATAAGGGTATAGCCGAACGGCTATACTGTTTAAATATGTTATTTAAGGAGGATAGCAGCTCGGCTATGCTTTTAGAATATATTATTTAAGGAGTATAGCCGGGCGGCTATACTATTTATTTATTTTAAAAAATACCCGCCTAGCCCGCCTAGGCGGCCCATTTTTGGAAAACTTGAATGGCGTAGTTTTTTCTTTCAGATTTCCTTCTTCCCGGCGGGTCTGGCATCTCTGCAAATACATGAAGCTGGGGTTTTAGCGAAAGAGTGAGAATGGGAGCTGGTACAAAGGAGGTTTGGCATTATCCATACCTTTGTTTCCTCGATTGAATTTCTTAGTTCCCGCAAGCTTATTGTCCCTTCTGTTGATTTCTCAGGTGATAGGGTTCCATTCACTGCACCAGAAGTAAGGTTATGCATCCCAGATGCGACATCCTTTTGCATTTCTTAGTTCAGTCATGCTGTCATCCAGCTCACCTGTCACCCATAACAGAAAATTTACATATTCAACACACAATCAAAAGGTGGCATCACCAAACAGTAGTAAACCTTGCAAATCATGCTTCTGTTTATCTATTTGCTGAAGAAGTCTCTGGTTCTGGTACTGGAGAACTACTGCATCGACCTGGGCACGTATAGTACGTACACAAAATACCAATACATTTCAATCTACTTCCTATCTCAAATCAAAATTGAAGTGTACTTGAAATGCATTGAACTATCAATGTGCACTCATCTAAATGCATGTTTTTTTATATGAAAAAGCATACTAACTTCAGAAGTGACTTCATCAACTTAGAGATTAATGATGCTTTACTGCCCCAATTACACAATTAACAAACAGAAACCCTCTAACCTACACCCTATACTCCAAAAATTCAATTCTGTAACTTATATCCCTTTTCTTACATTTCCTCAACAACCAAACAGAGCATAGTACAATTTTTCACATTCTCAAAAGCACATCCAAAGCAGAAATTGCCCAAACTCCAATCACCCATCAATCACAGTAATTAAAAAAAAAAATAAAACACCTTTTTTTCTTAAACCAAAAAATTTGATCAAAAGCATTTTTCCGTCAGTAACCAAGCAGACTGTAAATAAATAAATAAATAAATAAATAAATATATATATATATAGAGAGAGAGAGAGAGAGAGAGAGAGAGAGAGAGAGAGATTACCCTATGGTTATTGGGTGGAGAAGTGGTGGAGCTACGAGCCATGGTGGGCGAAAGTGAGTTTAAATGAGGCCTCTTCTTCTCTGGCTCGTCAGAGTCTGGGTTTTCCATTTATCGTTGTTATGGTGCTCTTCACAGAACCCACCGCACCATTACAGCTCTCAGGTTCCGAGCTCTTTTTGTCAAAAGAAAAAACCCTGGAAGGACTGATAGCGTTTCCGCAGGCACGACTGGGAGTGAGAGAGAGAGATCGTTGTCGACACGAAGTCGTTGAGAGATCACAAGGAATTCATTTACTATCGTCAAAATGAAATGTATAATAAATTTCAGCCCAAAATGAAGTTTTATGTAAAGGGTATAGCCGGCCGGCTATACTATTTTTATAATAAAAAACTCTAATATAGCCCTTCGGCTATACATTTTTTAATAATTAAAAATCCGAGTATAGCCGCACGTCTATACTATTTATAATTAAAAAAAGACCACCGCCTGGCTTCTAGCGCCTGTTCCGCCACGTGTCAAAAGGGTATAGCCGCTCGGCTATACGATTTTTTAATTATAAAAACGGTATTATAGCTCCCGGCGATACTTTTTTTTATTATAAAAAATTATGTTATAGCCGTTCGGCTATACAAATTTTTTTTAAAAAACCCTGTGTATAGCCGCCCGGCTATACCATAACCGATGGCTATTATGCTATTTATTGTTTAAAGAGTATAGCCGCCCGGCTATACCTTTTTTTTTTTGGGGGGAAAAAGGACCCGCCTAGCCAGCCGCCTAGGCGGCCGAACTTGAATGGCGTTTTTTATATTTAGATTTCTTGTTTCCTGGCGAGTCTGGCGTGTCTGCAGATACATCAAGCTGAGGTTTTAGCGACTCATGTTTATCAACAACGTAAAGGTTAGCTCTTCCTAGCAATTCACTCTCTCTTTTCTGTCCACAAATCTATTGTGGCTTTGGACAGGATGGGAATGGATTTAATAGAAACTGGAAATCCATATGCATTCAAACAGTATCTGTCGGAGTTTGATAACACCATTCATTTGTAGAGGATCAGTAACTTGGGGATTATTTTCTGTCTTGTGAGTTTTGCTACCATAATTGGAATGATTTTCTTTTTAGTTTCTCTTCCTGTTGGTTTGAATGGTCTAATTGTGAATTTGCTACAATGTTATAAATGCGGGGTTGAAACTTGGCTGGGTGAAGGAGCTTTTGAGGAATTATTGTAACAAGAATTTCAGAAATTGAGGTCTCTTGTGGCTTTTGGAAGATTACGATCTCTGCATATTATGAGATTCAATAGATTGTTCTTTAAAGAAATATCCATTATGCAAAATCTGACTCAGAGGCTTAGGCCCCTTGTGGGTTTGAAGACCAACAATTGATGGATTATATCGCAAATTCACAGCACAATGCAACATTTCACCGGAGCAAGACACCCTGCTTGCTGCTGGCTGCAATACAAGCTTCCCTGTCAACATAAATGACATGAGCACTGAAATACAACCACAGCCCTTTCCGGGCAATGAGAATGAAGGAAATGATCATCTAAACAGTAATCATTTCCAGCAGTCGCCTGTTGTTTCCCCAGTGGATCATGATTCGAATGTGCCCATAGTTTGAAATATCGATAATATCGATGAAATATCGAGGATATTTCGGTTTTTTCGAATCACGGATATTTCGGAACATATCCATGTACATATTGACACATTTCAAAAAATATCGATGTCGATAATTTCACTCACACTTCAGCAATATTTTGTCAAAATATCGGTGTAATATCGCTAAAATATCGAAAATATCGACGTAAAGGGAAAAAAAAAGGAAAAAAGGGAGGAAAAAAAAACACAAAGGGGATTTGAACCCCTCCTATTTTACTCCTCCAACACCTTAACCACCATATATCACTTATATTTTAGTGATAATATGCTAAAATATTTATATTTATATGGGTGGCATGTTAACAATTACATGCAAAACTATTTTGGGGATTTATCATTTGATGAATACTATTCACAATACACTTACTCTACACATAGAGATGATGAAGATAGTGAAAAATTTGAACCTCATAGGAACTCTATGTGGTACTAAGTCACTCATGTATCTTATCATGCAATGTATACAGTGTAAAATATTGTAGTAAATCATTATATATAAATGATTATGATGTGGTTAATCTTTTTTTCATTAATTACTACATATTTTCTACACTCACAGTGTTTGTCAGCTCGCTGTATAATCAACTTAAATAAGTTAAATCCATCATGTAATGCATTTCCTTCTATTTTGAATTATTTATAAACTAATAGATAATTGACTAAATAAACATTCTCCAAAGTTTCAATAAAAATTTCCAAGTTTTTCTTACAATTTCCTTGGTTTTTATTCAATTTTTATCGATATCGATAATATCCCGATATTTCCATTGAAATTTCCATGTTTTTGTACTACAGATATTTCCGATATCATCGATATTTTAGACCATGAATGTGCCATACGACATATCAGTTGATCTAATCCTTCTCTGCCACACTTCTCCAATGAATGTCCTGCGACATGTCACTTACAACTCAAAGAACAACATGAAGAATGTCCTTGTTTTTGTGAGAATTGATAATGCCCTTGTATTTGATAGAGGTCATGTGTTGAGCTGAACACGAATGATCGTCAAAAATTTCATCTTTTCTATATGGTTTTGAATGTATAGTTGATGTCTTGTATGATTCTTAATTGTAAATAAAGGATGGGATTCATTGCTTAGTACCAACAATTGCTGTCAATAATGAAGCAAAAAGATGCAGAACATGGTATTTTTTAATATTGTTTATGTATAGATTATAAGAAGCTTCAAAAAAATGTTCTCACTTGTCAATGGCCTCAAGGAAATTTTGCTTTCTAATCTGGAAATAGTTCGTCGCATAGCGATTGTTATTTCTATTTCATATTGACACATTGGAGACATCAAATCAGGTTGAGAGGAAAAATGTGATGGTCATGTTTTGAAGAATTAAACTTAGTTTACCTAGACTGCAAAATGGTTCTTTTTCATTGCTCATACGTTTGACTCCAGCTCTTCAGTTAACTGCATCTAGAATATTGGTTTTGATCATTATTTCATCCCTTTCAATTTGCTTCTCTGTTTTTCCCACCCAGCAGCACCCCACACAAAAATCTGCAGGGCCAAAATGACGTCGTTAAATAACAGAAGTCACATTAGAGTAGAAGCCATGTCTGAAAGTAATTGTAGATTCCAATATGCATCAGCACCAGAAGAAACTAGTACATTCAGAGTGTTCGAGAAGGCTAGTGACTCTTTTGGCGTGACCCTCAAGCTTCCTTGTAACCTGCAAAATATATAAATCAAGGCAATGACAAACTTTTCGGGTTTGCTTCATCACAACATCGAGCATGATTTGTTTTTTTTTTACGAGAACAAACAAACTACCTTGTTTGAGTGGAGATTAATTCAACCTTAGTTGACTAGTTGTACCCATTTTTCCATATTTTCATTCAATTTCAATGGTAACATGTTTTGTTAGATCTCCTTAGTCGGATATGTATGAGTTTGAGTATGGGATTAATTCAACCTTAGTAGCATCTCCAGGTTCACCTAAAACAAACATAACACTTAATAGTGAGTTTGACGGGATACTGTTAGACTACTCACGGCAACATGCCACGCCTGAAACCTTGGAAATTGGCAAAGGTGGGGTTGGCCTATTCGTAACTAGTGTCTTGTTGGGGGAAGGGATCGGGTGAATATAGTGTTTTCTAATTAATATTGTCTATGCCACAATGCAGGCTGCATCCCTCAATGAAAAGATTAACCGAATGTTTGGTGGAGAGCATGTACGTTTCAAGTTTATCTTCCTTTGGTCGAGTATTATGTGGATAGAACTACCAGTAGAACAATAGCTAGTTGGTGTCTCCTATTTAAAATTAGGATGCCCAAATTTCTGACCTTTTAACTGTCTGAAATCACAAAAACTTATATTTGATAGCTTTATAGGATTTATGGTAAAGATGAGACCAGCTTATTTCGGAAGCCATTGTCATGTGATTCTTTTGCATTTTGTTTTTCTTTTTCTGGGTGGTGCCTTCAGATAAACAGCACAGAAAATAGATCAGTGCTTCATGTAGCTCTTCATGCTCCAAGGGATGCAGTTATACAGAGTGATGGGAAAAATGTGGTCCTAGATGTTTGGGAAGTTCTGGACAAGATCCACTTCTGAGAGTTTTCGAAGTGGATTTTGGGTAATCACTACAAATTTTTTTAGCATCCATTTTGGGTCCATATTGCCTGAATTGTGAAGTAATTGGCAATTCTGTTAGGTTGGTGCCACAGGAAAAGCCCTGAAGGATGGCATTGCTGTTGGTATCGGTGGCAGCTTCTTAGGTCCTAAACATGTTTAGATGATGCTTTCCAGTTTGTCAATTTATAACTCTATTTTGCAGTCTTGTTTGCTATTTAGTGTGAGTTTCCTTGTGAAAATGATTAAGCTTGCTTTGGAATAAACTTTGGGTAGTGTTCACTGGTTTGATTACATTTTGTAGATCCAGAGGCTATCGAAACAGCAAGGGGGAGGCAACTGCATTTGTACGTACTTACGTATCAATTTTTAATTGATTATTTTCCAGTTCTCTATATCAATGAATTAAGAGCTGGTAAGATGCTAATGGTATGAATCCATGTCTTGAGGCTTTTGAAGTGATTTCCCACTACTGCTGTCAAACATATTAGCTTTCTTTTAGCTCCTTCATTTTAGGACCTACTTGATTGGAACAATGAGATTGCCTGTGTTCTTGAAGGAGGGATGCATTCATCAGTTAAAGACATGTAGAGAAGCATTTTGTATTTGATACGGCACATAGGATTTTAGGACATGGCATGCTTTTGCTTATGCTTTCAAATTTTCTTCGGTTTTTATTTTTGAAAGCAATCTATATTCTGTGTGTTTGGTTGTAGTTGTGGTGGTTGAAGAAACATAGCCCATATTCAGGGACTATGTTAAATGCGTTCTCCTTGTAAATATTTGGTTGTAGTCTTGGTATTTGGGTTAAAGGATTAGATGCACTCTGTAAAAATCTACTAACGTGAGTGTAGCCGCGCGGCTATACTCTTTATAAAAAATCCTAGTCTATTGAAAAAGTTTAGCTGCAAATTTGAGCTTGAGATTGAGATTGGGAAGCCGAAGCAAGCACAAGTCAGATCCATAGAAGAAGAGATCATGAGACTCTTAATTCATCTAATTCCATTCTGTTGACGCTAAAAAATGGTTCGGCACTTTTGAGGCCAACTTAGTGATGATGATGTAATTGATGATGAGTGAAGGTGAGGACCTTCACCAAGCGTGTGAGGATTTGAGCAAGCGATAAATATACAAAATACAAGATATACGTGGTTCACCCTTAATGAATGGGCTACGTCCACGGAGAAGTATATTCTCATTATTATAATATTGTGTATTTACATTTGTACATGGGGTTGGACCCAAATTTAAATGTAAGAAAAGGGAAGGTCATGACTAAAGACCAAGCCCAGCCCAAAGATCCTTTTCTAAGGGGAGAGTGGTCTCCTTTTATAGGTGAGGGGGAGCTTTCACTTCTTGTAATATTCCAATGTGGGACTCTTTGCTTTGCCTAGAGTTGCTTCTAGTTGCTTGGTCAAATATGGTATAAACA